GGTTTGAATAGATGAAAGGGGCCACCTACACAGTAACCCAAATTATCAGACCTCCCTCCTCCCTATCTCGCCAAATCAAGAGGGGAGGAGCAATGGGCATGGAGGGAGGGCGAGTGGGCAGGAGGCGGAGGGCAGAGGAGGAAGAGGAGGAGGAAGAGGGCCAGTTGCATCCCACTTTCACAATGGGAAAGTGAAACGCACTGTGCACCCAACCTCTCCAGTCCTCCGCTGCCGCTGCACAGGCTGCCAGAGCGAGCCCACAGCATGCTGGCATTCAGGGGAAGGAAGGCCTATTCTTGCACAAATCTTCATGCTTCGGGCTTCTAAGATATATATATATATTCTAATATATATCTATATATATCTATATATTATATATGATATATTCTAATATCACTCTCTCTCTCTATATATATGTGTGTGTGTGTGTGTGTATATATATATATATATATATATATATATATATATATATATATATATATATGTGTATATATCCCCTCCTAATCTAAATAAACCATATCTTCACTTGGTACAATACTCCCTACTCATCCTGTTGGAATAGACTGGGTAGAAATAGGACACCCAATGGACATTGAACTCCTTGAATTTCTTATTTTTTCACTCAAATGGAATTCATTGATTGCTACTTGGTATTGCAATTACTTTTCACCTACCAAAAATCTTCCTACCTCAATTAAAACCCCAAGTGGATTGGATTCATGACTTATTTCTTCCTATAGCCTTGTCCTATAGTTTATGTATTCATCTAGTTGATGATATCAAAAAAGAGCAAGTGATTAAACTTTGAAAATATCAGTATACAATTTGGGGCCAGACAAATCTCTCTCTACCTACTTAACTGCCTACCTACTCATCTCTTATGAAAATAGATAATATCCTAATTGTTTTGGACCCACACAGTAAGTCTCTGCTTTCTGAGGTTGTTTTGGTAAAGTCTCTGCAAGAAAGGTAAAAGTTCGCTACCTTTATTCATAAATTGATATTCTTTCTGGAGGTTAATTTTAGAGGAATTAATTTTGTAATTTCCAAGTGCTTTTTTCCATATTTATTTAGAAATGAAATTCATGTAGGTATTGAATCCCTTATAACACAACCTGGCAGCCTTCATGGGAAAGAAGTTCAAATGAAATACTTCTATTTATATCCACAGGGAAGTAGCGTTCAGGGTTCCAGTAAATTATCTATTTGTAATCACTCAATGAGACAGCCCTCCCTGACGTGCTTAGTCCCTGTGCTGGATAAAATCTTCTACATGCCAATTGACTCTAATTTCAGGCAGCACACTCAGTGAGAAGTACACCTCTCTGTTTTATAGGTGGCTCTGTGTAATCACAGGGTGGAGCTCTTCAGTCTTATAAAGTTAGCCTGTAATTTTAGAAAGCAATGAAACCTATCTATGCTCTCTACCATTCTAATTGACCTTCCTAGTGTTGGTTCCTAGTTTTGTTTCCTAATTTACTATGTATGTGAGTATGTTCAGTTTATCTATTTTACATAAAAGGAAAGGGTAAAGATGATACAGCTGAGAAATATTAAATTTTGCTTAGAGATTTTAGATTACATTGTATCTTAGGTTGATATATCCAATGATTTTTTATTCAGATATCCCCAGTTTTACTGCGTGTGTGTGTGTGTGTGTGTGTGTGTGTGTGTGTGTGTGTGTAGTTCTGTACAATTTTAATACATCTGTAAGTTCATGTCTCTATGAAGAGAATGGACATTTCTGTCACCACAAGGATCGTACATGTTTAATTGCTTCAGCAGTATTTGCTGAAAAGGCCATACTAGTACTTCTTTCATTGAATTACCTTTGTATCTTTGTCAAAAAAATCAGTTGAGCATATTGGTGGGTCTATTTTGGGTCCTCTGTTCTGTTGCATTAATCTGTGTGCCTTTCTCTCCACCAATATTGTTCTGTCTGGATTATTGTAACTGTATAGTGAGCTTTGATATCAAGCAGAGTTTCTTCCCACTTTATTCTTCTTCGTCAAGATTGATTTGGCTATTCTGTGCCTTCTTGTATAAATGTTAGAATAAGATATTTTTATGTCTACAAAGAAACTCTGCTTGGATTTTGACAGGAGTTACATGAAACCTAGAAATCATTTTGGGGAGAATTGACATCTTTAATATGTTGCATCTTTAAGTCTATGAACACAGTATGTTTCATCCTTTATTTAGATCTTATTTGATTGCTTTCAATAGCATTTTTAATATTCAGCACTTAGATTCTTTACATATTTTGGCAAGTTTATACTTAAGGGGTTAACTTTCTTGGAGCAATTGTTAAGTGCTCCAAAACTTTTTCACTTTTTACATGTTTGTTGCTTTTATATAGAAACACAATTTTTGGATGTTGAGCATATATCTTGAAACCTTGATGAACTCGCTTTTTAGTTATAGGAGTTTTTTTGGGTTTTGTTTTTTTAGTAGATTCCTTGGGGTTTTCTACATAGACAATTATGCCATCTGCTTTGTCTTTAGTTTTTGATAGTTTTATTTTGGTGTGTCTGGGAGTGAAATTCTTTGGGTTTATCTTTACATTTACTAAAATTCTTGACTCTGTAGATTTATGTCTTTAACGAAATTGAGGAAGTTATCTCAGTCCTAATTATTTTTTTTTCTGTACTTCATCTTTCTCCTACTCTTCTGGGTATTTGATGACACCAATATTAGGTCTTTTTTTAATCTTACAACAAGTCCCTGAGACTCTGTCAGTTGTTTTTTTCAATCTTTTGTTTTTTGTGTTGCTTAGATTGGTTACTTTTTATTAATCTGTCTTCAAGTTTATAGATTCATTCTTCTGTTATCTCTATTGTATTAAACACATTCAGAAAGTTGTATTTTTCTAAGTTTCTGTATTATATTTTCAGCTCCAAAATTCTATTTGTATATGTCTTATTTCTTTCTAAAACTTTCTAACTCTCTATTCATTTCAAGAATATTTGTTACTAATTGCAGCATTTATATCTGTGCCATCTTGGCATTGATGTCTGTTGATTGTTTTTTCTCATCTGAGTTGAGGTTTTCCTGGTTCTTTGTATGCTGAGTAATTAGATTGTAATGTCCTGTTATGAGTGCTGCAGTTTTTATTTATGCGTCTTTTATGCATTCTAAGGAGGATATTCCTTTGTGTGTGTATGTTTCAGTAGGTAATTGACCCAGTTGCTTTCAGTCTTCAAATTCCAACCAGTGATCTGTGAGTTGTCATCCACAGTCAGTCTCAGGTTCAAAGATTTTTCAGTGTTGTTTGGACCTGCCCTGCTTGTGTGCCAACTAGTGTCCAGTTTGGGACTTGGGCAGTGGTCTATCTCATAGTTCCATCTTCAAAACCTGCGTAGGTGTTTTTTGGGTCGGAACCATGCACACAGCTTGGGAGTAAGCCTAGGAATCCACAAACAAATGTATATGGTGGCTTTCCTGAGCTCCTTCCTCTGCATAATCTCCTTTGTCTTTGCTGGTTCATTGGGCTTCCCTTTATATACTCTGTCCTGATACAGCTTTGCCATGACTGCATCCATATATGCAGCCAAACAGCAGGACGACTGAGTCTACGGCAGTTTTAGGCTCCTAGGGACCTGGACACCACCACTGTCACCACTGTCACAGGACGGGATTCCTTAGGGGCTGGAGCACAAGAGAATGAGAAAAATAAGAAAAAAACAGGACTTTCCCCCACTCCACTCTGTCTTTTCCCTGTGCTGATGCCCACTTCCAGATTTGGGGCTACGTCTAGTTCAGCTTATAGAACAGTGGACAAAAATAAAGGGTTAGATTCACCAACAGTTCAGTAGTGATTCAGTGTCTTCTCTGATCTTTCTGCTCCTAATTACTTTTCAGAATCTTCAAATAGTGATTGCATACATTCTGTGCAGGTTTTAGGACTATATTCAGTGGGAGAGACAGGTTAAGTGTGCTTACTCCATGTTACCTGGAAAAAGAACCCATGCCATTGTTTTTGTTCAACTCATTAATTAGAGAGAATCAGTAAGATGTTAATATTGGTTCAAAGAACATTTGAGAAGCTAGGTACTTAATTAAGAAGTGTTAGAAAAAGACTGACAAATTACATAACAAAACATACTGTAGGATATTAACCACTAGAACAATAAACTGTAACCTTTGAGAGTATCTTTTCCACTGGACAAAATAATTTGCATCTTTTGTAAACAAAAAAACCTATATGATAACTAGTAATTTCTCTGAATCTGGACATTTTAATTAATATTATCTTTTAATTAAGTAGCATCTTCAATGTTTACTAGATATCTGCCATTTTTCCTAAGTACATTTCAAGGGGTGTGGGGGGAGGTGGAAGTGAGCAAAGGAGGGATAAATGGGGACAGAGAGAGACTTGGCTTTGGGCAATGGGCGCATGATGCAGTGTGCAGAGGATGTTTTATTGAGTTGTACACTTGAACCCTGTATGTTTTGTTAACCAATGTCACCCCAATAAATTTAATTTAAATAAATAACTAAGTACATTTCCCCAGATAAACTTTTGGTGAGCCTTTGTCCCTGCATGACAAGAATTCTATACCATCCTTGTTTTGTTTTGCTTTTTTCTATGTTTTCAATAATTTTTCTTAAAAATTGTGATCTGCATTCTTCCTTCAGAAGATGTCAACTGAAGCAAGAGATGATATGAAATTGGCAAAGACTCCATGAGAAGGCAACCTATTTTTTCAATTCAATAAATATTTATATCATACTTATGATGGGCCAGGCATCTTGCTACACAATTGTTCAGAAGACCAATAGATAATTTTCATAATATATGTGTGTGTGTTCTCTTGAAATTAATATCTCCTGCAAAGCATAGAAACTCTATAAAAATCTACCATTGTCATTGAAAATTTGACAACAATATGGTATCATCATTGAGGTTTACACACTGTATTTCTGGATGTTCTTCAGATGAACTCAGAGCAGATTGTGCTTATTCGTGTTATGATTTTGATTGTTGTTTACTCTTAAAGGAAAAGCAAAGGTAAAAAAGAAGAGGAAAAACAGAAGGAGGAGGAAGAGGTTACAGTGGTACTAAAATGGGCTGGAGAAGGAAACCAAGATAAAGAATGGTCCCCTCCCACTGATCCTGACTTCTGTGCTTATGTGTATGAAGTGACCAAATCAATACTTCCCATAACCAATATAAGGGAACAGATTGAGGCTCTTGCAAAGTAAGTTGTCTATATACACATATACAATTTGTGGAAAATATGTTTAATTTGGTGATTTGCATTTTTTAGCCAATTTTTAGACAACTATGCCATAATAAAATTGAACTTTATAGTTCCCTACCTCTGACTCTGAAACAGAAAAATATGAATGGGGGGGGGGGGGAATTTCTCAATTTCTATTTTAGATCAGATTTCTGCCAAGAATCAGAACTAGTAGCTGGAAATTGCCTAAAGAAAAATACCTGTGTATATGCCAACTATGTTTTACTAAAATAAATAAATAAGTATAGGCAAAAAATGTTTGTCATTTTTTTCAGGTAAACCATGAAAAGTATCTTTTCAATCTTGACCTTGAAGAAGTTAAAATAAATCAAAAGTTTGAAAATGAAACAATTCCCTGGATATATGGGGTTCTCACAATTTAAAGAAATTCTATTGTGAATTATTTGTAAACCCACAAGTTATTTTCTCATACAAATAACCAAGCCTTACTATTATGTTATATGTTTCACATTGCTCTAAGTGCGAGCGTAAGCAATCTAAAATGTTTGGGCAGGCTCAGCGCTGTGCATAAGCAGTGACGTTACCTTCTTAATTGGAGCATTTAATCTGGTTCCACTAAGACAGTGGTTCTCAACCGTGGCTGCACATTAGAATCACCTGGGGATCTTTTTAAAATCCTGATTTCTGGGCCTCATCCTCCGGAAATTCTGTTACTTTGTTATGGGGTGGGGCCACAACGTTAGTAAAAAAGAAACAGAATTTTCGGAGGATGAGGCCCAGAAATCAGGATTTTAAAAAGATTCCCAGGTGATTCTAATGTGCAGCCACGGTTGAGAACCACGGCTCTAAGGGAAGCTGAGAACTTAACGTGGTAGCGGTAAGGGATTAGGAATCACTAGATAGAAGCAGAGAGCCTCCTTGACTGGCACCAACCAGCAGCTGAGCTACTGGATTGGCAACAGCTGTGGCCTCCACGGGAGCTCGTATCTACTCCAAATAGAAGTGAGCTGCAGTCATCAAACCTGGATGCAACAACTGCAAGAAACACAGCCGCCAGATCATTGACTGCGTTTCAGCCAGCCCTGGAATAGAACATTTTTGGCTGCTAAAGTTTTCCTAATGTTGAGAAGTGATGACTCAAGCAGAACTCTGATTTAGCACATCTCAACATTTGTCAAATTCCCTCATGCTTTGTTCCTATCAGAAATACTTCTCACCATTTCCCAAATAATTGCCTTGTTACCCTGAGCCCACATGAAGATAGAGACACAGAGATTTGTCCCCATGCTTTTGGTTGCTACCCCCTCATTACAGCACACCTGGCCAGGGGGGACTGCATGTCAGCTAATTAACTCTCAACTTTCTCTTGTCTGTCACTGTTGTTCTTTGCTCAGTTCTACAGACAACAAGGGAAATTCTTTCTTTAATACAATTCTACCCTCACTCCAAGATGTAGTAACCTTAATCTACAGAGAATTTTTACAGTGCGTTTACTGACTTCTTCAGTGAGAGCCTAATATTAAGGGAAGCCCACAGGCAAAGTATACATCCATCCCACCTGCTCACCTTTTTACTTATTTTTCCTTTTTGCCTCTTCCTCTCTCCTCTAATGTCAGTGTTACATAAATACCATGTCCTTCTCTAAATTTAAAAATAATTACATTAAAAGAAAAAATTATAAAACTTAAAAATATTTGGGGATCTAATGGGAAAATGTCTGTGTTCATCTTATCTCTGAATTTAAATTTCTTTAAAAAAGGACTATATGTTATTACAATGCCTTGGATTTTAGGTTGAATCATTTGCAAATATTTTTCAAGAGTAGGATAAAATTTTAAAACTGCATTGAGACAAATTAAGTGATACTGATTTGTATCTTGTAAGTATTGGGAAAATTAGCATTCATTTATTGCCACGTATTGAATGAAATTGTTAGAATATCTGTTTATAAGTGATACTTTGGATTAGTAAGCAGAATGTTAACCTAGTTATAATAAGTACATTTTTTAAAGTAAATAATAAAATCAGAGAAAAAATATATAATTTTACATATAGTTACACTCAAATTGTCTAAAGTGAGATTAAACTTGATTGATTTGATCTCAATGTAATTAACACAGGTATGTGGCAGAAAAAATGGGCGGTAAAATTCCAAAAGATAAACTACAGGATTTCAGCTGGGAACTTCATATAAGTGAACTAAAATTTCAACTTAAATCCAATGTTGTTCCAATTGGACAGATCAAAAAAGGAATCTTCTACCATCGAGCTTTGCTTTTTAAGGTATTTAAAACGTTTGCCTCATTTGCTATGAGGTAAAAATGTTTTCTCTTTATCATAATGTAGTGAGCCAGCTGCTAGTATTTAACTGGATAATATTAATCCTATCATTTAGATGTACTTATATTTGAGATATATATGTATTTGTATATACATATATACTGGTGCATATATAGTCACAGACTATTGACAGCATATTCATTCAACATTTATCATATATCAACTGAGGGCCAAGGCTTCTTCTAGGGTTTGGGAATATAGAGATTCTAAAGTGACAGTTCCTGTATACAAGGTATACCAAAGCCAGGCTTGTGGATTCTAAGGTGATGTCAGGGAAAATTTCAGGAGAGAAAATGATATAGTGGAAGTGACATAGGATTTTGGCAGGTAAGGAAGGAAGACAAGAGTATTTTAAACAAAGCAAACATTTTAAACAAAATAACAGGTCTGAGTCAATGGGCCATTTGGGAGATGTAGACTAGTTTGTCTGGATGAAGAAAGAGGAAGGGTTGGATGAGGTTAAACCAGATCATAAAGCACCATGTGATTAGCCACTGAAAATTATTAAGGGGAATTGAATGGGTAACATGATTTTCAAAGACCATTCAGGTAACAGAATGGAGAATGGATTCGAGCAGGAGCAAGACTGGAGACAGGAAAACCAATTGGAAGGTTACTGGAGCAGAAGTGTGGGTGACCTATACTGAAGCCATAGTTGAGGATGTGAAAGAGGGTGATTTAAGAGGTAAATCTGAAAGGAGTTGGTGACTGCCTAGATGTGGTGTGAGAGATTATAGGAGAAGAGCACAATGATTTCTAGGTTCTAGGCAGGGCATCTGCTAATGAAGGCATTATTGGCTGAAGTGAGGGACACTAAAAAAAGGATCAGGGTTAATAAAAGGAATGATCTTTGTTTTTCTCCATTGTGTTCAGTGTCTGTAATATAATAGGAGCTAAGAAAATGGTTTCTAAACTATAGACTGAATGTATAAAAGTCTTACCCTCCCCCAAATACTTATAAACCTCATTGCATCTATGTGTACGGTATCTTGCCTCCAGCTCCAAGCTAATTATATTTACAATCCAGATGTCAGTCTTTCCTAATTCCTTGGATTTCTTGCTCTCTTAATTCTTCTCTCCTGTCTTTAATCTCTTTCACTCTTAGCTATTTCTCCTTTTAAGTCTAAACTTAAATCTATAATATTTAAAGAGTAAGTATCTTTTCTTTTCTCATAACATCCACAACCACTACAGTGGCTCCTATTCTCAAGACCATCACCATTTTGAGCTATGTGCCAGGCACTTGATAAATGTAATTGTGAAGAGTCTCAAAAATGCCAAAGTGAAATGACTTCTTGTTTTAGAGATAAGAAGACAGATATTTAGAGGAGAAATTGGCCTAAGGTCAACCAGGGGTACAACTGGAATTTGAGCCCATGCCTATCTGAATCAAAAACCTATCAGAATACTTTTATCCATACAATTCTCATTCCTGGTCAAAATTCTGAGTCATCTCAACTCCGTGTTCTTCCAATGGGACATCTCTCATTTTTCTTCTCAACTCATTGCAGTCTGGCTTTTGCTCCCTCTCAGTAAGGATTAGAGTGATCTATTGTCTATCTTACTTGATATGTTGAAGAATTTGTCATTGATCATTCTTTTTCTTTGACATCAGTCTCTTTATTAATGTGCCCTCTTTTACTACTTCGTCTCAATCACCTTTGGAGACCTCTTTTCCTCTGTCCTTTCTCTTAAATGTTGGGGTCCTGCAAGGTCCTCATCAGGCTCTTTCGTTTTCTCCCTTTATGTACTTCACAGTGTGAGGACATCCCCTCATGTGGCCTTAAATACACCTAAAGTTTCCAGACCCCTTCCTCTGTCCCACAAATCTCTCCTGATTTCAAACCCCTGTATGTCTGAAACCCTTGAGCTGGATACACTTAAGTATCTCATAGGCACTGTATTAGTCTGCCTGGGCTTCTGTAACAAAACACCATAGATTGGCTGCCTTAAACAACAAACATTCATTTCTCATAGTTCTGTAGGCAGAACTCCATGATCAAGGTGCCAGGAGATTCAGTGTCTGGTGAGGGCCCACTTCCTGGTTTGCATCCACTCTTTTCTTCACGTATAATCATTTGGCAGAGAGAGTGAGTGCCAGAGCTCTGGTCTCTTCCTCCTCTTATAAGGGCACTCATCCCATCATGGGAACTGCACCCTCATGACCTCATCGAAACCTAATTACCTCCTAACCTAATTACCTCCTAAAGGCTCCACCTCCAAACACCTTCACACTGGGGGTTATGGCTTCAATATATAAATTTGGGTGGGTGGGGGTGGGGAGATTCACTTATAACATTATGCCAAACTGAATTCTTTATCTTCACACCTCAACTGAGTCTTGCAATTAATTACCCAGGCCTTGGCCACTGCTGAAATCCTGAACACTCATTTAACTCGCTGATGAAATCTCTTATCCTTCCACCCCTCCTAAATCTTTCACTCCTCTTACGTATATTTTTTGTCTCTTCCATTTCCTTCCAGTTGTTTGGCTCTTTTTTGTTTTGTCTTTTTGCCCCTTTGGAAGCCTAGATGAATTGTCCACAGACTTATAATTTGCTCACTAATTTCCCTCATTTTTTGCTACCCATCCTTCCACCCCTCTGCCTGGCCAGACCACCAATCTGATTGCCTGTCCTTTCCATTAGTGACACTCAGGCTGCGGAACATAACAGTGCGGAGTGCCACAGCTGATCCAGGTGTCCACCGTGTGTGACATGTGGGTAGCCTGGCCACCCTTTTCCAGCTCCTCATCCCAGGCTTCTAGTTTCCTCAGCCACTGTGCACCACATCTGACCTTCTCTCTAAGCCACGGGTGGGGAACCTTTTTTCTGCCAAGGGCCATAAAAATTGGAGATTTATAACATCATTCCTGGGCCATACAAAATTATCAGCTTAAAAATTAGCCTGCTATATTTGTCAAACATTCAATTAACTCACCCCTAATGCCTTAGCAGAGCCAGACCAAATGGTTTCTTGGGCCTTATATGGCCTGCGGGCCTGACATTCCTCAGTCCTGCTAAACCTTCGCATCTCCATTTCTTCCTGTAAGCAGATGACCTTGTCTCTCACTTCACAAGGACACTCAGATTCATCTCAGCTGGAAGCAATATTATTCTGAGGGTAAGAACTCAGACCTTGAGACAGATTCCCTGGCTCTCACCTTAGGCCCACCTGCTGTGACCTTGGGAAAATTATCTGATCTCAGTATTTTTGTTGTTGTTGTTTTTTGTTTTTATTGTTTAAGGTATTACAAATAGTAGTACATATGTCTCCTCATCCCCCCAATTGATCTACCCCCTCCTCCCTTACTCCCTGGCACATGCCATCACCCCCCTACTGTCAGTGTCCATTGGTTATGCTTATATGCATGCATACAAGTCCTTTGGTTGATCTCTTACCTCCTCCTCAACCCTCCCCTGCCTTCCCACTTCTTCCCAGAAGTTTGACAGTCTGTTCAATGTTTCTTTGTTCATCTGTATCTATTTTTGTCCATCAGTTTAAGTATGACCTCAGTTTTATTGTCTATAAAGCAGAAAATACAAAGTATTTCACAGATTTTTTGGTTTTTGATTATTTAAAGTGCTTTGACATGGAGTAAGAGATCAGTAAAAGTTATTTTGGGAAATATAATTATATGTTTATTTTTGTCTCTCTACCCCACAAGACTATGAGTGCAAAATTATTCTAGTACTAATTCCAACATGGGAGGGATGGTGTTCCACACATTGAAGCAATTCTCCAACAACAGCGAGGTGTCCTATACTTCAGATCAGTTCTGACACTCTCTACCTGGAGACAGCGTCAGACCCCACAGGATAAAGGTTCAGTCCTACAAGACTGCTTCCTCCCCCACTTCTGATGCCAGGCACAAGCCCAGGTTATCACCTGTGCTTCTGACTAAACAGCTATAGATGAAGCTTCCAATAACCCCATCCTTGGGTTTGATTAATTTGCAAGAGCTGCTCACAGAACTCAGGGAAACATTTTACATACTGGATTACCATCCTATATAATAAATAGGTAATATGCAATTTAACCCTCATGCCCTCACAAGATGGCTGCCTATGACCAGGCCAGCAGTGGGGTTAGTGAGGGATGACCAAATGACTAAACAAGCAGGCTGCATGGGGCGACCAGGCCAGCGAGGGGGGAGGGTGGGGGGTGGCAGTTGGGGGTAACCAGGCCAACAAGGGGGGCAGTTGGGAGCAACCAGACTGGAAGGGGGGCAGTTGGGGGCAATTAGGCTGGTGGGGGCAGTGAGGGGCAACTAGGCTGGTGGGAGGGGGCAGTTGGGGGCGACCTGACCAGCAGTGGGGGGAAGTTAGGGGCGACCAGGCAGGCAGGCAGGTGAGCGATTAGGAGCCAGCAGTCCAGGATTGTGAGAGGGATGTCCGAGGGGTCCCGGATTGGAGAGGGTGCAGCCTGGGCTGAGAGGACCTCCCTCTCATGCACAAATTTTGTGCACTGGGCCTCTAGTTTTATCATAAAAGGATGTAGCTTAGGAACAGCCAGATGGAGAGAAGAGTATAGGTTAAGGTATGGGAGAAGGGTGTGGAGCTTTCACCCCAACTCTCTACCTGTTCCCCAACCCAGAAGCTCTCTGAACCCTGTCTTTTCGGGTTTTTGTGGAGGCTTCATTACATAGGCATGGTCGATTAAATCATTGCCATTGATTGATTCCACTTCCAGCCCCTCTTCTCTCCTCAGAAGTAGGGGGAGGGAGTAGGACCAAAAATTCCAAACATCTAATTAAGTGGTTGATTCTCCAGGCAACCAGCCCCCATCCTCAGGTGTGTCCAAGTCACCTCCTTATCATAACAAAAGGCACCTTTTTGCTTCTCATCATTTAGGAAATTCCTAGGGTTCTAGGAGCTCTGTGCCACAAACCCTGATGAAGACTAAAATATATTTCTTATTAGAAATCTCAGTATCACAGAGTGCTATACATTCAGATAAATCACATTAATAAATGAATATAGAGATTATTGAAACAACACAATTCCCGCCCTCTAGCACTAGGAACACCTGAGTACTCACTGTGTGCCAGCATTCACGGCTCTAAGCACTTGACATGTATTGATTCACTTCATCTGTGTAACCACCGATGAGGAGAGTGTTTAGACCAGCGGTTCTCAACCTGTGGGTCGCGACCCTTTGGCGGTCGAATGACCCTTCCACAGGGGTCGCCTAAGACCATCCTGCATATCAGATATTTACATTACAATTTATAACAGTAGCAGCATTACAGTGATGAAGTAGCAACGAAAATAATTTTATGGTTGGGTCACAACATGAGGAACTGTATTTAAAGGGCCAGAAGGCTGAGAACCGCTGGTTTAGACTGTTGTTATCCTCATTTTACAGATGAGGAAATGGAAGCACACAGAGGCTGGGCCACTTGCTTGAGGTGACAACTAGAAAGTGGACGAGTTGAAATCCAAACCCAGGAAATCTGAGCCTATACTGTGGCTAAGGAGTTTCTAGATTATTTCAAGGGTACTTTTAAAGAAAACCTCAATGTCAAGGCAAATTAAAGAAACAACTCCCCCAAAACATAAACAAACCCTGAGGAGATGGCAGCAGGCAGCCCAAGAAGGACCAACCACTCATACATTTCCTCCTGCTCCACAGCATCTGTCTATGTGCATCACACAGAAGAAATTGGCTAGAGACCGGTCCCCACCCATTTGGTCCCTCCTTCAGTCTCACTGTGATTCACACCCAGAGAGCAGCCTTAGGAGCTTGGAAAGATTGATAGATGCACTAGTGCTGAAAGCCTGTGGAATAGCTTTTCTCCAATGGCATTATCAATCTTGTCCTGATACAATGCGGTGTAACTGCCTGAAAAATGTCACTTCCCAGCAGGACCTACACAGAGATTTTAAATCTACAGGATCTTGAGGAACAAGGGAACATATCACATTTTCTTGGCTCCTATCACATTATTCCACATTTTTCAGCCTCCTTTCTAAGCACTTCTTTGCAAGAGTTGTATATTTCACCTTCAACCAAGGTGGGTCTTACAACTGAGAATTTTTTTTCCACCTCGTCTCCCTCCTCACTCTTGGTTGATCTTGTGTTTTCTCCCACAGGCTCTGGCTGATAGAATTGGCATCAGCTGCTCTCTGGTTCGAGGGGAGTATGGCAGAGCTTGGAATGAAGTTAAGCTGATGAATGAATCTCAAAAGGGATTGATTGGGGGTCTCCCTCCTCCTGAAGAATATGTTGTTGACCTCATGTTCCATCCAGGGGTACTGATGAAGCTAAAAACTAAAGAAGCAGATCGTTACAGATTTCTCTAGAGTAGCAAATACAGAAGTGGCTCAAACAAGACATTTAATCTACACATTTTCTATGAAATTTCCCCGTTAATTTTATTTATTTAAATAAAAGTATTAGAAAGCTCCTCTCTGTGTGAGAATGGGGTACTTGGATTGACATGGTTGTGCTTCTGACTTCAGGCTTTTGGCAAAAGTGTAGTCTGTTTAGATCATCTTATGCTTGTGAAAAGTCCCTCATGAAAAGCTTATTATTGTCAAAATTATCCCAGCCCACTGTTTCCCCAGGAGCATCCTTGCCCTTTGGGATTCTTGTGTAAAACAGCTGCTGATCCCAGGCAATTCTGTGGCCTCATCACTGGCATTCTTCGCGCCCAGAGGCCTCAGGAACACTTGGTTAAGCAAATTCAATGTTTTTTAATGTCTTCAGTCACCTTTCTCACTTGCTTAAAGTAAGATTGTTTAGAGTTTGACTATTTATAGACCTATTCTAGTATTACAAATTACTTTCTAAAATGACTTTGTTCACATTTTTTGAAACTTATTAAGAGCGCTGTTTAATATACTTCACTGAAATATAAATGTTTCTAAAAACTATTTCCATAAATTGTATTTGTCCTATCTATATTGACTTGGAAATATTCCTTCAGTTAAAAAAACCTTCTTTTCTGTGAAAGTTTGAAATATGGAAATATAATAAATCTTTGCTGAGTTGTGTTTTCAGTATTAAGCACAAAATGAAGCAAATACACGTTTTAAGTGGTAAGAGAGATAAAGATAAGTAATATGATGAGTCTCAGGAAGTGCTTATTTCTTGGTCAGGCTTTAAGACTAAAGTTTTCCTGTGTAATCATTTTACTACAAGGTTTTTAAAAGTGAATTTTATTTTAGAAATTAAGGCCAAGATTATTCTATGTGAACCAATCTGTAAATTCAAAGAATGTATAATTCTTTATTTCAAAATAAAGTTCTGTATGTCAAATGTTGTGGTCATTATATTTATCATGCAATTTCATGAACTAGAGCATGGGTCCAAGGATACATACTCGTCTAAGCATTTTCAAGTCTGTTTGGACCCAGAAAATATTTAAAGTGGATTACAAAGATATACAAGACGTAACAAAATAAAAATAAATGAAGGAAAAAAAGGCGTAAGAGTAGTAAAGAAAGCTCAACAAGGCCAGGAATAAGCTTAGAATTCAAATGCATCCATGAAAAGCTTATGCATTTGTTGGAGCTGAGTGAAAATTTGACTCTATGCCCGCCAGCAGCCAATGCAGAAGGAAATGCTATAAGTTACATGATTTATAATCGGGGCCACTAGATAAAAGCACAAAGTAGTTTCTCCGGAGGAGCAAAGACCAGGAATTCCTCTTTGGAGCTTCATACAGATAACAAATGTAATACAGAAAATACCATCTTTGAAAAACAACCTCCTAGTAAGTTGTGGGAACAGTTTTCACAGGGCAATGGCCTAAGATCAAAATGGGATGAGAGAGGCTCCAGGCAGAGCCCCTGTGACACAGCCCAGGTGAACACCACATTTCTCAGTCTGGCACAGGCCAGAGACATTTCATTTCCATTTTGAGACATTATGTATGCTGCCTGTCTTAACTAGGTTCTAGGTGATTATTGAACAGGAATGAGTTTAAATTCTCAAGTCTTTAAAGTTTATCTATTCTGTTTTACCAGTTAAGTACACAGTCATAAAATTTATTTATTTATTTATTTATTTTTATATTTTATTGATTTTTTACAGAGAGGAAGGGAGAGAGATAGAGAGCCAGAAACATCGATGAGAGAGAAACATCGATCAGCTGCCTCCTGCACATCCGCTACTGGGGATGTGCCCGCAACCCAGGTACATGCCCATGACCGGAATCGAACCTGGGACCTTTCAGTCCGCAAGCCGACGCTCTATCCACTGAGCCAAACCGGTTTTGGCCATAAAATTTATTATTAATAATAATACAATCCACTATAAAAAGAAAACATTCACAATAGCAACAAAAATTATAAAATACCTAAAAATAGATTTAACAAAAAATACATAAGAAAAAACATAAAATTTTAAAGAGAACTGACTAAATGAAGATATACACCATTTTCTTGATTCAGCAACATATACAGTTAGTATAATTTCTTTTTTTAACTATAATTTCATATAGAATCCCAAGACATTTTCTTTTCTAGAACTTAACAAATTCTAAATTTTATCTGGAAGAGTGAGGAATGCCAATAATATTTTAAAATACAACAATATAGAGGAATTAGCCCCATAATATATCAGAACATATATTTAAAACACAGTAAAAAATAAATTAGTATAAAACAGACATAAAAATAGAAAATATTAAGTCCAGACGTAGCTTTTCTGCTCAGGGAAATGACAATCAGAAAATTATGATCTGGGCAAGTGAAGATCTTTTCTATATAAGATTAAAAAAAAAAGCCATAGAACATAGTTGACAAGTTTGGCTACATAAAACTGTTAAATTCTTGTTCAGAAAAATACAGAATAAGCAAAATTATTTCTGTTCAGCAAAATAAATTGTAAGCAAAATTATAGGGAAAAAAATTGCTGACCTTGGTCACTACAGTGGGATGACGAAGTGCTAGGGATCTCCTTCAGGAATGACAAGCTTCGGGCTAGAATAACAAGTGAATTTAGTCAGCACTGGATCTAGGAAATATGGGGCAATGTCTAGAACTACAGAGAGCTGAGTTAGAATCCTGTCACTTAAAAACTGTGGAAACTATGGCAATTATTGTAGTTTGAGATTTCAAAACAATTTATATAAAGCTTCTTGTTAGACTCAAAAGCTACAGTTTCTCTTCTGGAAATCAAACTATCTCATTAAAGTTAATATCTAACTTTCAAAAAATAGCTATTAATTAAATGAAGAAATGAACATTTAAATAGAATCCTTTTCACAGGCTTTCAGCCTTTGAGCAGGTATCATAAATGAGGATTCCAGTTTTGCACTGCACTTTTAGTGAGTACATAGCAGATTTCAAAAGTATTATTCCCTGGTCAAAGAAACCGCATTGTCATCCATGAAAAATACTTTTCTTGAAGCTCAAAAGACAATCAAATGGATACTGGTCTTTTTTCTTTATTGACATACAATTCTTTAAATAGTAACCTTTTTTGTTTTCCCCCAGCAAGATATGCCAATAGCAGTCCTCTGCCGAAGGCAGTAATTGGGAGATAAGATGCGGGTGTCTCAGGGGGTGGCCCCTTTTCCCTTAGAGCCATGCACAGGAAGGCTGTAGTCCACACACGGATGGTGCTTGTTTGTTTTAACTCAGCTAAATACTAAGAGTAGGATAAACAGACTCTATGAAAACTATATGGAAGACAACACTTTGGTATATTCTTAGAGGAAGACAGTGGTATCAAATCACTTATCTAGAACTTAGTATTTAAAAGTACTATTCTGTATTTAAAATTACTTGAATATTGTTATATATGTTACTAACAAAAGCTTTGCTTTTAAAATTATGAATATAAAAATTTTAATATAAAACTGGTCAATACCCATCTGAGTGTTCGGTGTGAATGTATTAATATAGTGAATTTAAATAAGGCTCTTCCAGAACTCACACGGTACCAGAGACCTGTAGGATCTGCCAATAAATAAACCCCAAATCATAATTTAAAAATAAAAATAATTGTTGGAAAAGGTAAAAAGATTGTATTGTGGTGATTTGATTTATTAAGTCACTAAGCCTTTAGAATTGAGAAGCAGTATCATCACAGAGGTAAAAAGCCCAGGTTTGGAGTTAGCGCTGAGATTAATTTCTGCATCTATCTTTTTCTACCTGTGATCTTGACAAAATTGCTCAACCTCTCTGACATTCAGTTTACTCTTCTGGAAAGCGGGGTAAATAAAAAGGACTATTTACAGATTGCTTACTATGCGTCAGAGGCTAGTGATGCCCTCGCTTAATCCTTCTGGTGACCCTATGATGTATAAGTAGCATTTCTCATGTTTAGCAGGTGAGGCACAGAGAAATTAAGTAATTTACCAAAAATCACTCAGCTAGTAGTGGCAAAGCTTTAAATTTGAACCAATCTATATGCTTAATAAAGGTACTGTGAGGCCCTGACCGGTTTGGCTCAGTGGATAGGGCATTGGCCTGAGGACTGAAGGGTCCCAGGTTCGATTCCAGTCAAGGGCATGTACCTTGGTTGTGGGCACATCCCCAGTAGGGGGTGTGCAAGAGGAAGTTGGTCGACGTTTCTAACTCTCTATCCCTCTCCCTTCCTCTCTGTAAAAAATCAATAATATATATATATATATATATATATATATATATATATATATATATATTTTTTTTTTTTAAAAGGTACTGTGAGGAAAAAATAAGACCATGCAAATCAATGCTAGATGCAAGTGTGCATGTGGATGTACATGTGTATATATCCGTGTGTGTGTGTGTGTGTGTGTGTGTGTGTGTTTACAGCTTTCCATTTGATGCTCATATAATGTTCTGTTCATGCCTCTGCTGTTAGCATGTTTTGAGGGAATATTTTATTCTTCATGTATCTGTCTCTTCTTTTAGATCAGAAGTCAGCAAATGTTTTCCTTAAAGGGCCAGATAGTCAATATTTTAAGCTTTGCCAGCCATACAGTCTCTATTGTAACCACTCCACGCTGCTATTGTAGCACAAAAGCAGCCACAGATAATACCTAGATAATACACTTTATGTGTTGAAACAAAGGTCAACCCGATTTGGCTGAGGGGCCCCTTTGTCAGCGCTTCTTGGGATGTTGAGCACTTTGTTTGAGGGTGTGGACACGGAAGGTCTGTACTTTCCTGAAACTCCTCCCTTGCACCTTGTCTAAGCATGCAGGGCAGACTCTCACACGGGCATTTTATCTTCCCTGGTTTCTCCAGGCTCCAAGGTGGATCTACTTGACATCCATCTAATGAATACCAATGCAGGTGCCTTATTTTTCATGAGGACAGACATGGCCTATCGAAAAAAGAAAATAAATTTTCCTGTTTTCTAAAGT